AGCCCCTCTTCTGAAAACTCCTTTTACAAAGTCCCCATCGCTGTACCCGAGGATCTCAGAGACATGTAAGTCACACATGGAGTGTTCAGTCCACTTTTTAGTCACAGACTGTGTCCACTCAGACTAAACAGTATTTTGGTGTAGATTTGTATGCAAGGTTTTTTTTTTTTTTTTTTTTAACAAACAAAACAACACACATATTATTTAGCAAAATCACCAAATTAAGCCAATGTCAACCTCATCAAATTGTGTGTGGTAGGGCTGGGCAATAAACATAACAATAATAATAATAATAACAACAATAATAGTTTTAAGGAATATCATACAGTTCTGTTGTGCAGCATCTTATTTGACAAAAAATAAAAATGCATTGTTTTGTTGTAAATTGCTATATTTTCATATGACTACATTTTTAAAGATCGATTACATTGGTAAAGTTTTATTAATTAATTTCCGTAGACACAATTTTTGATGATAAAAGAAAAAGTAAAATAGAGAACACTGAATTTAGGTAAAAATAACATTGATTTCCTGGGTCCCTAAAGGGAAGCTTCCTCTAATTGTGAACAAACAAGTAAATGTTAAACATTTTTGGAAGAACATTTTTTTTTACGTATTTTGGAAGAATTAAATGTATTCTATTCCTTTCTGAATGATGCAGCTGTTTGACTGAGAACATTCACAAAGACTTCAGGAAAGCAATCGGAGCCAACTGCATCTTCTACAACACCTTTACAAACCAACTTATTGTCCTGGTCAGTGTTTAATTCTATTTACTCTCTCCTTATGATACTGAAATATACAGTGTTGTGTCTGAACATGTCTGTCTGTTTCTCCTCAGTCCACAAACGAGTGCACGGTGAAACGAGCAACCCTACTGAGTGACATGCACTTCCGGAGTATTCGCACCAAACTCATGCTGATGTCCCGTAACGAGGAGGCCACTAAACATTTAGAGGTACACAAATACACAATATAGGGATTTTTGTTGTTTAATTTGTTACACATTTTAAATGCAAAAGAAGTTAGCTAGTCCTGACAGAGAAAGTCATCATGTGAAGATATAACTACTTAATTTGAGTTACTTACACAAAAATATTTTCCTGCAAATACAAATTCGCTTACTCAGATAAACAAACATTCATAAGCCATCTGTGCTTTTTTTTGCCTTCAAGCTCCACATTCATGGAATGAATTCCTCTGCAGTTCAGATTTCTTCTTATACTGTTGATTGTTAGTGCAAATCTGTTTTTTTTTTTGTTTTTTTTGCGCTTATCATTATATGCATGTTCCTGTAAAAGTGATTCTGGTCATGCTGGATTCCCCCTGTAGTTTAATTAAACAGACAACCAGCTCAACATTTTTGTGTGTGTTTTTTTTTGTGTGCCGCAGACGAGTAAACAGCTGGCGTCTGCGTATCAGGAGGAAGTGAGCGTGCGTGAGGATCTAATGGGTCTGGCCATCGGTTCTCACGGTGCCAACATCCAGCAGGCCCGCAAAGTTCCGGGCATCACTGCCATTGAGCTGGAAGAAGAGAGCTGCACATTCAGGATCTATGGAGAGGTGTGTATCTTTTCTTTAAGTTCATCTTGTGTTATTTACAAAGATGCATATAAAGATGATAGTGCTGTGTTCAAAATATCGATACGACGATGTATCGTCACAGAGATTTGACGATACGAGTATCGATACAGCTGGCCCTGTATCGATATTGTGGCACGTGTGCAGCAGTGGACCACGCTTAATTTGTTTAAAATTTTACAACGTTTAAAATTGAGTAGTAAAAGTGCAACGTTTCTAAAAAAGAATGAATAGAGCATATATAGGCTACAACAAGGTTTAATCTGGCCGCAGAGGAACACAACTGGGTTGCCTGATATAAAGAGACATAATCCCCAAAACAGAGCTTTACACTTGCACAATACGTAAATATCTGCTAAGTGTGCTACTTGTCTTTGTGAACCTGGCAACCCTGTGCTCACGTGCTCTCTCTCCACTGCGGATAAACGCGCTTGCTTTCTGAAAATAGCGGTTAGCTTGCAGTTTAGCGATCTCCACTTCAATAATCTATTCTTGAAACATATGCAATTACCTATATTGTACTGTGGTACAATTATGGAGGCCCTTCATAATGCAGAGGTCAGCTGCCTGCTCTGCCAATAGTTAGAAATGGCACTAAAGTAAGCAGTGTTTAATAAACAGCTGTTTTTCTAAATTCTGCTGAGGTGAAATTCAGTGCAGTCATGTACCGTGATATGTATCGTATCGTGGTATCTGTTTCGTGATATGTATCGTATCGTGACTTTGCTGGTGATACACAGCCCTAAAAGATGAGTGACAGCAGTGATTTTGATGGGTTGTTCTTTTTGACTCAAGACCCCAGAGGCTGTGAAGCAGGCCAGGACATATCTGGAGTTTAAGGAGGATTCCTTCCCAGTTCCAAGGAACCTTGTAGGCGAGTTGGTTTTCTGCTTATTAGACCTTTCGTTTGGACTTCTGAATGCAGTTCATTTGTGGACAGACATGTGCTAAGCATACATTCTGAAAATCTGCCAAAGCCCAAGTGTTCTTACCCAATGATTCTCTCTCTTTCACAACAGGCAAAGTCATTGGCAAAAACGGCAAAATTATCCAGGAAATAGTAGACAAATCGGGCGTGGTTCGAGTCCGGATCGAAGGGGACAATGATAAAAAGCTGCCCAGGGAGGAGGGAGGCAGGCAGGGGGCTGGCAGAGACAACACTGTCAGCAGCCAAGAGGTGAATGAGCCGCCCACCTGATACAACAAACCTCTCACTGTTACAGCTAAATAAATCCTCAGTGAGGAAAACAACACACTATTAGTAACAAGCTGTTTATTTCCATGCAAGTGTACAAATATTATGAGTGTTTTTAATCGTTTAATATCTGAAATGGCTTCCGATTTTACTAACATCAGAAATGTTATTCCTCTTTGTCTTTGTTATTCAGGGAATGGTTCCCTTTATTTTTGTTGGAACCAAAGAGAACATCAGTAACGCCCAGGCCTTGCTCGAATACCACGTGGCCTACCTTCAGGTTAGTCACCAGGCATGAAGGGTGTTGTTCAGCCTCTGAACTGATTGCAGTTGCTGAAGAGTGTTTGTTCTGTTATTGTTCAAGACTCAGAAGTGTACAAATGTTGAAACCTTATATTGAATTCATTGTACCATACTAAAGATGAGCTTTTGAAATTAACTGTTCTCTCTTGACTGGTCAGCTGATCTCCTCCTTCATGGAAAGCTGCTAGTCGAACTTAACCACTAACTGATGCTAAAAATACCCCCATTGGGGGTAGATTTGGTGGGGGAGGGGGCAAAGTGTGGATTACATGCTATCTACCCAGGCGCCTCTCAAAATAGCTGTTTCCCCTGTCCATCCAAGCCCAGCTCTAGCACATTGCCCTCCTCTGTCAGCATTCAGATGCTGTTTCAAACCGCCAGCTGTCACATTCTGATCTGACACCTTCACACACATTTACAGACACGTTGCATCTAGTGAAAACCCACTGCAATAAATGCTGTCTGTGCAGATAATCCTGCTTGAGAGATGCCATGAAGAACTACAGTTCTCAAAGCCAATCATTTCATCAGCCTCCTCAATATTTATCAAGAGGTTTACTTTCTGTGTTTAACAAACAAAATAGTAAAAACTTTTTGCACTTAAAGAAAAATGCTGATATTTTGTTGTCTTGTGCATATATTATAATATTATGATTTTTTTTCACCCCCAGTAAATATATTTTATCTTCTGATCTTTTATTATGTATTATATTATTGCTATATAATATATTATATTGTGTGATATATTGCATTTATTATATTACATATTGCATATGATCTTATATATTGTCATTGATAATAATAGCATATATATATTATTTCCCCATTTTGCTATTAAACGAAAACCAGAAATTACTACATTATATTACTTTTGTGATCTGTAACTCTGCATGTAGTTTAACAGCAATGCCTGACAGTGATTTCTCTCTCTATAATTGACAGGAGGTGGAGCAGTTGCGTCTTGAGCGCCTACAGATTGATGAACAGCTCCGTCAGATTGGGGTGGGATACCGCGTACCCCCCAGCCGCTCTGGTTCAGGGGTCGCCGGCGAGCGTGAACGGGGTTACCTCACAGACGAGAGCACCAACTCCCTGCAGACCACACGCACCTATGGAGGAAGAGGACGTGGACGCAAATCCAACAATACATACTCTGGCTATGGTGAGATGCAACTCCCACAATGATCCTCTGTCTTGGACAGTCTGTCTATACATTTTAATTATATCTATTTCCTGATTTAATGTGCAACAGGGTTAAGGCAACCATGGGTGAAAGGCACATTTGCTTTTATTTAACTCAACCACTAGATGGCACAAAAACCCACCACAGCCCTTTTCTAAACCTCTATATTAGGGATGTTGTTGTTGGAAGTAAATATAAAAACGTGGTGTTTATTGACTGAATGCATGTTACATTTAACTGAAAATAGATTTTAATCTGAATAAAATCTTTCTGGGGCTGCCTGCTGCCTAACACACCTTTTTTTTTTTTTCTTGTCTTCTCTGCAGGAACAAACTCTGAAATGTCAAATGCATCAGAGACAGAAGAGATAGGAGAGCGAGAGCTCAGGCCAAAAGGAGTTGGAGGAGATGACAGGGGCTCCAGGCGTGGTGGCCGTGGCCGTGGCTCCAGCACTGGCAGGGGCCGGGGAGGACCAGGGCCACGAAACACTAACACTATCAGCTCAGGTATGAACTGATTGTAATGAATAAAAACTACATTTTAAAGAATTCTTCCTAGAGTGAATGTATTTTTTTCTGGTTATGATGTAAAATACTTAATTGGATAGAAATGGCTCTGCTGTGAAATTTCTCCTTTTATTAAAAAAACACAAATAAGTTGTCATTCAGTCAAGCAACTGAAACTGTCATAAACTAAATTGTCAAAAGGTGTGGGAACCATGTTTTTTTATCAAAAATTAATAAGGTGAAAATTATAAAAAAAAAATGTTAAATGCTTGGTGGCATATGCATGCAAACTATTGTTTATCATCGTTTGTGTCCTGCTGAACATCTATGCTTTTGTGTATATTCCAGTGCTCCGAGATCCAGACAGTAACCCGTACTCTCTGCTGGAGGGAGAAGGTGAATTAGGCGGTGATACAGATGCCAGTGAAAGCATGGGCGGCACTGACCGTAGGAGACATTCACGCCGTCGGCGTAACGACCAGGAACCCAGCCTTATGGATGCTGCCGCTAATGAATCCGACAGTCAGGCAGCCGCCAGTGAGAACGGATTGGGTATGAGACAGTTTCGGTTCACAGATTGATTAAAAAGAACATTTGTGACCCTGGACCACAAAACCAGTCATAAGCAGCACGGGTATATTTGTAGCAATAGCCAACAATACATTCATTGTATGGGTCAAAATTATCCATTTTTCTTTTATGCCAAAAATCATTAGGATATTAAGTAAAGATCATGTTCCATGAAGATATTTTGTAAATTTCCTACCATAAATATATCAAAACTTAATTTTTGATTAGTAATACGCATGGCTAAAGACTTCTTTTGGACAACTTTAAAGGGGTCATATGATGCTTTTTTAAAGATCATTATTTGGTGTATTTGGTGTAACAGAATATGTTGACATGCTTTAATGTTCAAAAAACACATTATTTTTCAAATACTGTACATTATTGTAGGTCCTCTATGCCCCGCC